AATAGTTGATCGTAGGAGACCAGTTTGGTGCCGCATAATTGAGGTACAGTTTGGCCAGCGCTTTGAATGTGGTCGCCGAGCTGGTGCTGCCGCCTGTCGCAGCTGCTAGTTATAACGCAGTGACTGAGATTTCAGCTCAAAATTTCATAGCAAGTTTAGGACCGATCATGAAAACGTCTGTTCCAGAGGTTTTGCTCCGTATTTGCGCCTTAATTTCCGCGAAAATCAAACAAGACCTGCTTTTACACCGCAAAAATCGTTTAAAGGATATGTTAAATCAACGCAGGTGGAAGTGTGATGATCGATCCTCTCTTTCTTCATTTGCTTATTTCTGTCTCCTGCGTGCCTGGTTTTATTTAGACGATGCCTCCGACTTTCACGGCCTGCTGCTTGAGAAGGTCTACTCAAACCTAGTTGAACGTTGGAGAAATGACATGGCGGTCTCCTCATTTGCCTTGGAAGTCCTCTCGGGCCTGTCACAGAGTTGCATCACTCGACCTAACCCTGATGCCTGTAAGTGTCGAAATTCTTGTTTTTTAATTAAGTCAATATCAAGGTGTATGGTGGCTATTTATGCCAAACATGCCACCAGTTGATCTATGGTAATCCCATAAAATTTATAGCTTTGTTTTTTCTGCCCGCTGCTCTAATCCAAAAAAAAACGAATTGAATCTGGGAGGAACGTTTACCGCACCGCACCGGATGAACTGTCATCGACCTGGCATCTAGCTTCAGAATATTCCTTGACAAGGAAGCATTGGGTGATTTAGCTGTTTCAACAGTAAGCAACTGAGAAGCACGCGCTGTAGCCTTTCTTATAATAGTTTTTAAATGATTGAACACCCTTTGATTGCCATTGATTTAGAATGCTGCCAACTCATCAATTACACCATCTCTCTGGACTTATAGCTAGGCTGCAGTGCCCCCAGTGTGACCTTACAGCGGTCTAATTCGTGTGCATAGGCGCAGATTCAGCCTCGTCAGTCGCCGCGTCTGTAACCGCTGCCAGCCATATAAGCTCCGTTTCTTGCCACTGAACCAGAATGGATATAACATCGGGCGGCACTCTCACTCAGTGCACTTCGAGTCGTCCTCTCCCCCTTCTTACTGTGTGATATGCTAGTCATTTTTGTACCTAGGCGTGCCGGTCGCCTGCGTCCTCTCATACCTCCGGTTTTCTTGACTGTGTCATGACACCGCGTCCGGGTGCAAAAGGGAGAGGGAGTGTGATAGATGCAGTGTAAGTCTACTATCACTATAATCTAGCCCACGCGCAGGTCACTGCACTTGCTTCCGGCCTGCCATGAAGCACACGGTTGACATCGCCGTAATCGAACGGGCTGATCAAAAAATGACTGTTGCAGTCGGAACCTTGTTCCAAAGGGGGTACCCAGCTCCTCCGTTGCCAGATGGCTTTCGCTTGGTGCGTCGGATTTACCCTCTTGGGGACAGCATACTTCCCAAGTTCCTGGCGGACCTTCGGTTTCCCCCTACGATCACACGCGTTTTCATTCCCTCTCGGTGTTTCTACACTGCCCACAGGTACAGCCCCGGTTGCCTACAGTCGAAGCTGAAATGTCAGGCCGGAGAAAGATGCTTTGGAGTATTAATTTC